TTTTAGCAACATATTTGGGAAGAAATTTGCAGTTTTAGCTCTATCAAGATGCTTAGTTACTATCTCTATCTTATGACAGGCCAGAAATTATTTTTTACTTACTTTGATATCCTTTCACACTGTGAGAGAATATCATTTTGGTATCCTTTCTCACTGTGAGAGAATATCACTTTTATTCAATAAATAAATCGTAGTATTTCACTGTTGAAAATGTAATAAAAGGTCCTATGCTCATCTCTGAACACAATATATAGTAATTTCTAGGCTTCATTCAAGACATAGAAGAGTTCATGGCATTAACTGTTAGTGCATGATGGGAAAAATGGATATTAAAATGGATGTCAATTTCTATTCTTATCTTTTTATATCCTGAAGTGTTTTTTAATGAGAAATCAAAAATGTCTGACATATTAAAGCAATGCACAGAGTTAGCACACTATTAAATTTAATCTCACTGCATTCAAGGTTAATATTTTTTTCAGTAACACTCCCATAAAAAAAAAGCAATTTCTAACAATTACAGAATTACAAAAAACAATGCTGTTGTTCTAAAACAAAAACAAAACAAGAGGCCCATGGGCCACAACGCTCACCTGAGTCAATATGGCCCTGCTGTTCTTTGTCAGCAGATTTCTTCTTCTATATATTCATACGTAAAGCTTTGACCAACTGTTCTAGGCATAAGCTATCCCCATTTGCCATGTTTTGAATGAAATTGAATCTAAACTTTCTGAGGATGCTTCTATATTCATATAACTAATCATGGTTTTGCTGTTCTTGAAAAGGAATTTTAAAGATGTCTGCCATCCTACCCTGGGGGGAAGGAAGGGAGGGGGGGTTCAAGATTTGAACAAACTTGAATATACACTACCTAAGGATGCTTCCATATCAATATGACTAATTATGGCTTTGTTGTTCTTGAGAAGAAGATTTTTTAAGATATTTCTTATATATATTCTTTTGTTAAACTTTGATCCCCGATTATGGCCCCACCCTACTACTGGAGGATGCCTTGAACAAACTTGAATCTACAATACTTGGGGATGCTTCAATATCAAAATGACTAATCACGGCTTTCCTGTTCTTGAAAAGATTTTAAAAGATTTTTCCTATTTATTCCTATGTAAAACTTTGATCCCCCATTGTGGACCCACCCTACCCCCGGGGGTCTTGATTTCGACAAATTTGAATCTACACTACCTAAGGATGTTTCCATATCAATATGACTAATTGTGGCTTTGTTGTTCTTGAGAAGAAAATTTTTAAAGAATTTTCCTATATATTCCTATGTAAAACTTTGATCCCCCATTGTGGCTCCACCCTACCCCCGGGGGTCATGATTTGAACAAACTTGAATCTACATTACCTGAGGATGATTCCATATCAAAATGACTAATTGTGGCTTTGTTGTTCTTGAGAAAAAGATTTTTAAAGAATTTTCCTATATATTCCTATGTAAAACTTTGATCCCCTATTGTGGCCCCACCCTACCCCCGGGGGTCATGATTTGAACAAACTTGAATCTACATTACCTGAGGATGATTCCATATCGAAATGACTAATTGTGGCTTTGTTGTTCTTGAGAAAAAGATTTTTAAAGAATTTTCCTATATATTCCTATGTAAAACTTTGATCCCCTATTGTGGCCCCACCCTACCCCCGGGGGTCATGATTTGAACAAACTTAAATCTACACTACCTGAGGATGATTTCATATCAATATGACTAATTGTGGCTTTGTTGTTCTTGAGAAGAAGATTTTTAAAGAATTTTCCTATGTATTCCTATGTAAAACTTTGATCCCCCATTGTGGCCCCACCCTACCCCCGGGGGTCATGATTTGAACAAACTTAAATCTACACTACCTGAGGATGATTTCATATCAATATGACAAATCATGGCTTTGCTGTTCTTGAGAAGATTTTTAAAGAATTTTCCTATATATTCCTATGTAAAACTTTGATCCCCCATTGTGGCCCCACCCTACCCCCGGGGGTCTTGATTTGAACAAATTTAAATCTACACTACCTGAGGATGATTTCATATCAATATGACTAATTGTGGCTTTGTTGTTCTTGAGAAGAAGATTTTTAAAGAATTTTCCTATATATTCCTATGTAAAACTTTGATCCCCCATTGTGGCCCCACCCGACCCCCGGGGGTCATGATTTGAACAAACTTAAATCTACACTACCTGAGGATGATTTCATATCAATATGACTAATTGTGGCTTTGTTGTTCTTGAGAAAAAGATTTTTAAAGAATTTTCCTATGTATTCTTATGTAAAACTTTGATCCCCCATTATGGCCCCACCCTACCCCCGGGGGTCATGATTTGAACAAACTTAAATCTACACTACCTGAGGATGATTTCATATCAATATGACTAATTGTGGCTTTGTTGTTCTTGAGAAGAAGATTTTTAAAGAATTTTCCTATATATTCCTATGTAAAACTTTGATCCCCCATTGTGGACCCACCCTACCCCCGGGGGTCTTGATTTGAACAAATTTAAATCTACACTACCTGAGGATGATTTCATATCAATATGACTAATTGTGGCTTTGTTGTTCTTGAGAAGAAGATTTTTAAAGAATTTTCCTATGTATTCCTATGTAAAACTTTGATCCCCCATTATGGCCCCACCCTACCCCCGGGGGTCATGATTTGAACAAACTTAAATCTACACTACCTGAGGATGATTTCATATCAATATGACAAATCATGGCTTTGCTGTTCTTGAGAAGAAGATTTTTAAAGAATTTTCCTATGTATTCCTATGTAAAACTTTGATCCCCCATTGTGGCCCCACCCTACCCCCGGGGGTCATGATTTGAACAAACTTGAATCTACATTACCTGAGGATGATTTCATATCAATATGACTAATTGTGGCTTTGTTGTTCTTGAGAAGAAGGTTTTTAAAGAATTTTCCTATGTATTCCTATGTAAAACTTTGATCCCCTATTGTGGCCCCACCCTACCCCCGGGGGTCATGATTTGAACAAACTTAAATCTACACTACCTGAGGATGATTTCATATCAATATGACAAATCATGGCTTTGCTGTTCTTGAGAAGAAGATTTTTAAAGAATTTTCCTATGTATTCCTATGTAAAACTTTGATCCCCCATTGTGGCCCCACCCTACCCCCAGGGGTCATGATTTGAACAAACTTGAATCTACATTACCTGAGGATGATTTCATATCAATATGACTAATTGTGGCTTTGTTGTTCTTGAGAAGAAGATTTTTAAAGAATTTTCCTATATATTCCTATGTAAAACTTTGATCTCCCATTGTGGCCCCACCCTACCCCCGGGGGTCATGATTTGAACAAATTTAAATCTACACTACCTGAGGATGATTTCATATCAATATGACTAATTGTGGCTTTGTTGTTCTTGAGAAGAAGATTTTTAAAGAATTTTCCTATATATTCCTATGTAAAACTTTGATCCCCCATTGTGGCCCCACCCGACCCCCGGGGGTCATGATTTGAACAAACTTAAATCTACACTACCTGAGGATGATTTCATATCAATATGACTAATTGTGGCTTTGTTGTTCTTGAGAAAAAGATTTTTAAAGAATTTTCCTATGTATTCTTATGTAAAACTTTGATCCCCCATTATGGCCCCACCCTACCCCCGGGGGTCATGATTTGAACAAACTTAAATCTACACTACCTGAGGATGATTTCATATCAATATGACAAATCATGGCTTTGCTGTTCTTGAGAAAAAGATTTTTAAAGAATTTTCCTATGTATTCCTATGTAAAACTTTGATCCCCCATTGTGGCCCCACCCTACCCCCGGGGGTCATGATTTGAACAAACTTGAATCTACATTACCTGAGGATGATTTCATATCAATATGACTAATTGTGGCTTTGTTGTTCTTGAGAAGAAGGTTTTTAAAGAATTTTCCTATGTATTCCTATGTAAAACTTTGATCCCCCATTGTGGCCCCACCCTACCCCCGGGGGTCATGATTTGAACAAACTTAAATCTACACTACCTGAGGATGATTTCATATCAATATGACAAATCATGGCTTTGCTGTTCTTGAGAAGAAGATTTTTAAAGAATTTTCCTATGTATTCCTATGTAAAACTTTGATCCCCCATTGTGGCCCCACCCTACCCCCAGGGGTCATGATTTGAACAAACTTGAATCTACATTACCTGAGGATGATTTCATATCAATATGACTAATTGTGGCTTTGTTGTTCTTGAGAAGAAGATTTTTAAAGAATTTTCCTATATATTCCTATGTAAAACTTTGATCTCCCATTGTGGCCCCACCCTACCCCCGGGGGTCTTGATTTGAACAAATTTAAATCTACACTACCTGAGGATGATTTCATATCAATATGACTAATTGTGGCTTTGTTGTTCTTGAGAAGAAGATTTTTAAAGAATTTTCCTATATATTCCTATGTAAAACTTTGATCCCCCATTGTGGCCCCACCCGACCCCCGGGGGTCATGATTTGAACAAACTTAAATCTACACTACCTGAGGATGATTTCATATCAATATGACTAATTGTGGCTTTGTTGTTCTTGAGAAGAAGATTTTTAAAGAATTTTCCTATATATTCCTATGTAAAACTTTGATCGCCCATTGTGGCCCCACCCGACCCCCGGGGGTCATGATTTGAACAAACTTGAATCTACACTATGTAATGAAGGTTTCCCATAAGTTTCAACTTCTCTGGCCCAATGGTTCTTGAGAAGAAGATTTTTAAAAAAAGACACCAAATTTTCACTTATTCTTAATTATCTCCCCTTGGAAGAGGGCATGGCCCTTCATTTGAACAAACTTGAACCCCCTTCTTCCAAGGATGCTTTGTGGCAAGTTTGGTTGAAAATGGCCCAGTGGTTCTGGAGAAGAAGTCGAAAATGTGAAAAGTTTACAGACGGACGGACGGACGGACAGACGGACAGACGGACAGACGGACTACGGACAAAATGTGATCAGAAAAGCTCACTTGAGCTTTCAGCTCAGGTGAGCTAAAAAAGCATAAATAACAACTGTCTTATGACAATTAACATCTGGCAGTCATTTAACAATTAGTTTAAATCCCTAACGAGCTAGCAATATAGCCAGTTACTAAACTAAAACAGCAAACAATGACATCATCTTATATTAGGATATAAAGCTTGTCAGTTGTGGATTTTTCACGAAGAATAACATTTTAAACTTAAAATTCAAAATGATCTCTCAATGTTCTTTTACTACATTATGCTTATACTCATAAATCCATAAAAAGCAGCAAACTCACTATAAAACTGTTACAACTTATCTCGAGTGTGACCAGCAACACTCGGACGGTTACTATGGCAACATGAATTAATGGTCCAGAATACGAAGGTTTCCAGACACAATCTTATTTTCTAACACGGCACCTGAAGGAATGTCAATTCTGTCGCCATGGTTAGCGATGATAATTACTGTACCCTACAATAAACAAGAGGTTCATAGGTCACAAAGCTCACCCGAGTTGTTTTTACAAAGTACAGAATCTCATAAACTCACCACATCAAAAAGCAGCCCTTCATTGAGGAAAGGACCAGCTTTATTTTTTTTTATCAAACTTAAGTAAATTAAACTTGTATATGTGTATACATGTACAGTGAGACTTGTTTAATCTGGATGTTGTATATTCTGAAATCTAGCCTAATACGATGTAAACTTTAAGTCCTTTTCAGTAAATTCAATTGTTTAAAATGTTGTCTAATCCAGAATTTGTTTAATCTGGCCAATTTCTATGGAACCAGTGGTGTCTGGATTAGACAAGTTTTACTGTATGACAATATAAGGCTTTATTGGTCTGTATCTGATTTCATGAAAAAAAATCCCCCATCCCCTTTACTATGGTTTGAACAAACTTGAATATACACTTTAAGGGATGTTTCCTTATCAATTTTACACAGCGAGACTTTTCTGGATTTTCATTCATTTTCATAAACTTTGGACCTCTATATTCAGTCAAACCCTTAACTTTGCCCTGTGGGCCATGCTATAAATCAATTTGAATTCTATTTTATGTAATATGTATAAAGGATGCTCTTTTGCTGTTCCTGAGAAAATCAAAGAATCTGGAAATAAAAGTTTATAGACATACAGACAACAAACAAGGATTTTAAATTTATTACAGCTCTCTGGAACTTTGATTGTTGTCAGCTAAACAGATTCACAATTTACATATCAACATTAATCCATGATTTTATAATTCATTTTATAAAGGAAGCTATTAAAAAAACCATTATCTGCCTCTGATGGAACTACATGTACAAACCTTGAGTGTGACATTTTTGCCAAACGTTACATCCCCTGAGACTGTGAGATGATCAAGTTCCAACATGTCAGGTATACTAGAGAATCTGTACAGGAAGTCTTTAACCTACAATGACAGACAAAGTCTCTGTATCTAATGTGAATTAAAGAAAACAAAACTTAAATGACTGCTAGATAGCTCAGATAAGTTGTATGAGAGAAAGTAGGATAAGTCCATTGCGTAAAGAAAAGTATTTCTGTCGTTAGCTTGTAAAACTTGTATGACTTAAAGTAATGAATTCATAAATTCATTACTACAGCTGTACCTTAGAACTTTACCTTGGTAAAGTGAGAGCCTAGTTTGTCTAGGTGTATATGTTACCTTGGTGAAGTGAGAGCCTAGTTTGTCTAGGTGTTTGTTACCTTGGTGAAGTGAGAGCCTAGTTTGTCTAGGTGTATATGTTACCTTGGTGAAGTGAGAGCCTAGTTTGTCTAGGTGTTTGTTACCTTGGTAAAGTGAGAGCCTAGTTTGACTAGAGCTTTGTTACCTTGGTGAAGTAAGACCCTAGTTTGACTAGGAGTTTGTTACCTTGGTGAAGTGAGAGCCTAGTTTGTCTAGGTGTATATGTTACCTTGGTGAAGTGAGAGCCTAGTTTGTCTAGGTGTTTGTTACCTTGGTGAAGTGAGAGCCTAGTTTGACTAGGAGTTTGTTACCTTGGTGAAGTGAGAGCCTAGTTTGTATAGGTGTATATGTTATCTTGGTGAAGTGAGAGCCTAGTTTGTCTAGGTGTATATGTTACCTTGGTGAAGTGAAAACCTAGTTTGACTATGAGTATATGTTACCTTGGTGAAGTGAAAACCTAGTTTGACTATGAGTATATGTTACCTTGGTGAAGTGAAAACCTAGTTTGACTATGAGTATATGTTACCTTGGTGAAGTGAAAACCTAGTTTGTCTAGGTGTATATGTTACCTTGGTGAAGTGAAAACCTAGTTTGACTATGAGTATATGTTACCTTGGTGAAGTGAAAACCTAGTTTGACTAGGAGTATATGTTACCTTGGTGAAGTGAGAGCCTAGTTTGACTAGAGCTTTGTTACTTTGGTGAAGTGAGAGCCTAGATTGACTTGGGGTTTGTTACCTTGGTGAAGTGAGAGCCTAGTTTGACTAGGAGTATATGTTACCTTCGTGAAGGGAGAGCCTAGTTTGACTAGAGCTTTGTTACTTTGGTGAAGTGAGAGCCTAGATTGACTTGGGGTTTGTTACCTTGGTGAAGTGAGAGCCTAGTTTGACTAGGAGTATATGTTACCTTGGTGAAGGGAGAGCCTAGTTTGACTAGAGCTTTGTTACTTTGGTGAAGTGAGAGCCTAGATTGACTTGGGGTCTGTTACCTTGAAGCGAGAGCCTAGTTTGACTAAAGGTTTGTTACCTTGGTGAAGTGAGAGCCCAGTTTTACTAGAGGTTTGTTACCTTTGTGAAGTGAGAGCCTAGTTTGACTACAGGTTTGTTACCTTGGTGAAGTGAGAGCCTAGTTTTACTAGAGGTTTATTAACTTGGAGAAGTGAGAGCCTAGTTTGACTAGAAGTTTGTTTCCTGGGTGAAGTGAGAACCTAGTTTGAATAGAGGTCTGTTACCTTGAAGTGAGAGCCTAGTTTGACTAGTTGTTTGTTACCTTTGTGAAGTGAGAGCCTAGTTTGACTAGAGGTACGGAGGGGAAGGATCGTTTGGGGTTCATCTCTAGGGATCCCGTCTTCATACTGTAAAGGTTACTCATCACAATCAGAAGGTCAGAGGTCGTCTTCACAGGTAAAAATCGGCGACGAGGGACATTGATACCTGTGTACAAACAATCCACTTGTATGAAAGCTATATTACACATATATCAATAACATGCAACAAACTTAATAATCTACACCTGGTTCTTGGTTAACGTCAATGACCATGACATAAGTTTTAAAGAACTTTATTTAAATACTTTAGTATTTATCTTTTCAAACCAATAACAAAAAAAGAAACCCTGGTCTAATTGGTTGAGCTCTAATAAAAATCAAAACAGCAGGAAAAAATTAAGATAAACACTATGCAGATCACTGTCTTCATACATCACAGACCCTTGATTAATTACCCAGCATTACCTTTTCCATCACCTTATTTTGTAGACATTGCTTTGTATGCAAGATAATCAAAGTAGTTCTTGTATAATCAGAAGTTTAAAGGTAATACAAAAATGAGAGCTGCTGCAATGAAATCATTTAATATATTTGTTAATCAGTGTCATTAAACGACTCTGTCTTTTTTCCTCCATATTCTGTTCTACATATGTTTGCTTTCATTTTTTTTTCAATTTCTTGACCTATTCAATTTATGAACAATAACATATTTTTTCTTTGCAAAGAAATTTCAAAAACAAGCTATTGTTTGCTTAGACTGCCTAAGCTTTAAATTAAGTTCAAATACAGTCAAATCTTGTTATCTCAAACTTGATTGGACAAAGGAAAGAAACTTCAAAGATATCTTAGGATTTGAAATATTGACAATAAATTACATAAAAAAAATTCCAACTCACTTTGACATAACCTTAATATTCAAGATACAGAAGTTCAACTAGACATGTTTTCAGAAGAACAAGAGAATGTACATGTATTGACATGAGGAAGATAGGAACACAACATAATTAACACTGAGTCTCCCAAAGACTGATCCAACACTACCGTGTATAACAAAAGTATGTACTGTAAAATTTTAAAGATAACCACCCAGTCTTAGGTGACCAAGATATATCATCCCCATATGTTTTCATATGCTTTCCTATAGCTTCTTTATAACATTACCTTTAATATTGAATTTTTTCAAACAGGGCATGTTTAACAATTTATTACTAGAAAACAAATTTCCCAAGCCATATTTTAATTAATATTTACATAAAAGCATATATTCTATGCTAATATGACACTGGACCCACTAAGATCTGAAAACTCTTTTGTTATTGGCTGAGGTGATCTTCAAACAAGGAGATAAATGTATTCTGTATTTTAATTGGCTCACTACTTACCAATAGCACCTTCAAAGCTCTTGATGGCTGCCCCTACAGCTGTCTCTAGCTGAAGTACATTCAATCCATTGTCAAGGGTCTGTAAGACAAAGATTAGGCCTATATAAACACTGTACTTTTTGAGTAGGTTTTGCTTAACAGCAAATATAAGGAAAGTACATATTCAAACCTCATTATTTCAAACTTGATGGGACCAAGAAAACACATTAATATCCTTTGATTCATGGTATCAAGGTTGAAAAGATGCTTGCCAACCTCCAACACATAAAATCTGGTCAAGTATATATATATATATATATATATATATATATATATATATATATATATATATATATATATATATATATATATAATTATAAATTTATTGATTAAATTTTCATGTTAAAAGGGCATTGAACAGATCTGGGTCGTCTCTGTTTTCAATGGAAAATCGCATTGCATTGTGAGATAGGTTATCCTCCGATTTCGGAGGATAACACAAGTATAATTTTCAAACGCCCCTGCCTATACCTTTAATGGAAGAGTGCATGCACCAGAGTATATATGCAAATTAAAATTCAAACATTACAGTATTGATTGTATGTGGAGATCGATTTGAGATTCTTTATGTCTAGATCTTTTGCAATTTATTGTTAAAGTTGGCACTTTATGTGCTCCCTTTTTACTGCATATTTCACGTTCCTTTGGGTTATTATTTGTGTTTTTTTTCTATTAAGATAAAAATGGTACTTTAAAATTAATTACAAATTTTCTTTTAACTTTATACAGGGAAAAAAAGAGAAACACAGAAGAAAACATATTTAAATGCAAAATAAACTCTGTTTTATAAAATAAGCTAATAAAATGAGGAATGAATGAATCATATATCAAATAGAAAAATAGATAAAGGAATAAATTAAACAATAAAGTGCTTTCTTTAATTGTTAGTATGGGAATGAATGTTGCAGCTGTTGCAGAAAAAATACATATTAACCCACATAACCAGGTTATGTAATTTTTTTCTGCAATAGCTGCAAAAATTCTATGCTTAGCGGTGTTTAGACTGATAGACAACAATGGCTTTCTTAAGAAATAAATGAGATAATATTCAGTCGATGTAAATATTAAATAATTCAAATAGCATGAAAAAATAAAATAGATAATTAAACGTTAAAAGAGAAATTTTCATACATATAATTATATATATAAAGAAAATATTGAATGATAGGCTTAAGGGTAATTAAATGAATTAAATAATAAAAACTTATAAACTTGATTTTTAAAAAAAAAAACGTTGAATCAAAATTTCAAAACTGTTAGCTTAATCATCACATAATTACTGAACAGGAAAATCAGCGTGCTTATAATAAACATCACAGGCAGGAAAAGTAATTTTTGTTATAGTAAGCTGTGAACTGATTAACGAGTGACGACAATTACAAAATTATTGTAAAATTGATCCAATATCTAGATTTTTCCATCATTATATGAAGATACATCTTTTTATTTGTTTTGGTTGAAAAATCAATGCATGGTTCATAAATCCAAGAGTTACTGTTCTTTGTTTCCTGAAGAGTTCACTGCCCTTTGTTTTGAAAATGCCAATAGGTGGCGAGACCTCTATCCTCTGATTTTGGAGAATAAAATCTCTTTAAAAAACAGTTCAAGATAAGCCTGAGATACTGAATTTGAAGTTCAACTGTATGAAAACAGTATTTACTGTTTCATGTGTAATAGGTAAGGAGATTAGCTACACTAGGAATTTAGCACAGTCCAACACTATAGTCTGGCACTCTAACCACAGTGCTACCCAGGCCCATATCCAACAGCCCAACTACATCTGTTTGATAGAACATAATTTTGTTCTAAGCTTGGATTTGGGTAAATGATCTCACCTTGGGGTTGACTATAATCTCCATAAGTAATGTATCTCACCTTGGGGTTGACTATAATCTCCATAAGTAAAGTATCTCACCTTGGGGTTGACTATAATCTCCATAAGTAAAGTATCTCACCTTGGGGTTGACTATAATCTCCATATGTAACGTATTATCTTCCACCACCCTCTTTATGGCATCGAGACTTATCCATAAATTGTTAGTGTTGAATATTCTGTGAAAAAATTATGAAATAATTGTAATGTTACATTTATTATTAGCCTCATTCTGTAAGCAAATTCTTACAGATTTTGTTTGAACTGTAGAAAAAGATCAACTTACTTAAATTTACTGACACTTTTAAATTCATCAACCTGAGAATAAATCAAGAAAATTCATTAGAATTTGAAGGAAAAATACATGTATATGTTCTGTTTCCACATTATTTAAAAAATACTTTACTATTATATATACATGTACATGTATAAATATCAGAAAATGAATAAAATTTGTGTTTTTTTTTCCTTTCATAAAAGTGAGGGGAATATGAATATTAATTCACCAAATACATGTACATGTATAAAGTTTTTTCCCCCAGGGTTATCAAATCTTCATACATGCATGTCTTGAAGTTCTTACAATAAATACTGATTATATATCATATCACCGTAAATATATATTATCATAAAGTTTGCAAGTTTTTATCAAATTAATCCTCTTGAATGTGAGTATACTAGCTAAGCTACCTCCATTGGATAAAAGAGCCAGTACAAATGGCTCAAGAAGTATAATAAAGTTGATTTTGTAATAAGAAATTCAGTACTTACATGGTCTTTGGGGACCTGAGCTATTTCTAGCAGTCGGAGTTTTCCCTCGTATTCCACAAGAGTCCCGCCCTGTAAGAGAAAACAAACAATGAAAGGGGGTGGGGGAGGAATTTTATATTTGATTCACAGAGAAAATATGAGTGAGGAATATACAAAAAAGCCTTCTATTTTGTATGTCACTCAGTCTTTGATTTAGAGGACATGCTAGGGTAACATTTTGTTATGATTTTATTGTAGTTTTAATTGCTGCTGTTTAAATTTTTCCATTTAGACAGAATCAAAAACAACTTTAAATCCATTTCTACAAAAATTTAATTAATCAAGCATTTCAAAGCATAGAGGTTTCTATTTAGTATGTAATTTGTTTTATATTAGCATTTGAAAATGTTAATGTCACAATCATGTTTCTGATAGGATTTGATGGTTTGATGAAGTTTTTCACAACCTTAATATTGTCTAAAAGTTTTCTTTTGAATGTCATTTTTAAATAAATTAAAGATCAAGGTTTGTACAGAAAATTTTCTAATGTAGAAATAGAATTAAGAGTTGTAAATATCAAACAGAACTTGACAAACAAAGACTCTGGCATAGAAAAATAGAAAATTTTATGCTATTTTGTATAAAATAATGTCAAATTCATGTGTGCAATTCTCTCTTGAGAGAAATATACCCCCCCCCCCCCCCCAACTATATAGGAGAGTCCTGACATGTAAATTTTAGAAGTTAATTATCATGATTTGAAAGGGGCTTTAAATAACAAGTGGTGTACATAACTCCTTTATCAAACTTGCCAAAAATTATTGGTCCAAAGTTTTTACAGAGCTCCTTGTATAAAGTTTCAATTGTATTTTCAATCAGTGTGTTGAAAGTTTTGTGTCTGAGATACAAAATCCCACCCCTCATATCTAGAAGAATGTAGATATTTAATAACTTGGATTTTGAACCAGGAAGTAAAAAGCACCAGACAGGTAGATACCTGGGTAGTCACATGATCAGAGTAAACAGAAAGAGGTCGTGTACTGGGCGGTCGCCATTACTGTCTCCTAAAAAGCAGGTACAATATTCCTAAAGAATGCAGTCTATATATTTTCTTATTTTTTAACATAACAACTAAAACAATTTCCTTTGACATGTTTAAAATACATGAGAATGAAATTTCACTAATTTTTGTAAGCATTTCTAGTTCTATATTCAGAACTTCTATGTCAGTGACTCAGTTTACACATTAACTATAACATACATTGCAGATGTCTGTACGTGTACCTGTAGTAGGTCATTTTAACTTTTTCAATCAATGATTTTTACACAAATTTTCACAGCTATCTTTTGGCTCTTCAACATTAGGAAAATATACACATAGGCATACTAACTTATCACAGCACAACTTAAGTTTGGAAATTTTTTTCTCATATTCTGAATCAGTTTCTAGGACAACTATGGGTAATATTTAAAAAAAACTGACAAAAATTAATTCACCAAAAGAAAACAGCCTTTATTCAGCTGTTAATTTTAAGCCTGAAATACATTTCTGTTATATTTTGTTAATATTCCTATCTTATTTGACAATAAATATTAACAAAACATTTTATATATTTAAGAGGCAAAAAATCTAATGATGGACCCCCGTACCAGTGCCCAGGATGTGATGCGATGTGACCTGTGTGAGACCGCTGTGGTACAGATGCACTGTGATACATGTCTTGTCAACCTGTGTACAGCTTGTGTAGGAAAACATATGATATCTGATGAATCCAAGGATCACAGAGTTGTAAAATTTCAGTCCAGGAAATCTACCCCCCTCTACCCTGGGTGTAAAACTCATATCAAAGAGAGATGTGAAATGTACTGTAATCAATGTGACATTCCCGTATGCAACATTTGCATTGCATCTGATCAACATCTAACTCATAAATTTTTGACAATTTTGCAAATTCTAGATGAAAAAAAGAACAAGATAATTAAAGAACAAACTGAATTAAAGAAGACAATTTACCCCACCTACCAGGACATTGCCTCTGATGTACAAAACAGAATGAGTCAGTTAGAAAAGGAATATGGAGATCTCTCAATAGCCATAACAAAACATGGAGAGGACTGGCACACAGAAATTGACAAACTTGTCAGGAAACTAAAAGTTGAAGTTGATGAGATGAAAAACACACAGTTACAAACTCTACAGAAACATCTGGATGAAATAAACAAGAACATTTCTGACATCAAGGATGAAATTAATGCAGTTAATGTCACTATAGACTCTAATGACTTGTCAATACTGTTCAATGCTAAATTCAATGTAGACAGATACAAAAAGCTTCCACAAAAAATTGTGTCGTCTATACCTAAATTCATGCCTGGAAAAATTCAAGAAAAAGAACTTCATAGAATGTTTGGAGCTTTAACGCAAAGTTCTCTCAATTCAAATGGATGTTATTACAGCATGAAGACACCACAGAAATCACCAGAAGCTGGATCCTCTCCTCCAGTCAAACAGCTGCTTGATCAACCAGTGACTGTCAACACCCTAGACACTGGGTATCAATATAACCTTTACAAAGTGGCCTGTCTGAGTGATGAAGAAATCTGGACAAGAGGAGATGACAGCACCATGAAACTCTACAGCATCAATCAGGGATCACTACTCAAGTCAATCACAACCAAGTCAGGGAACAGACCAACTGGCATAGCAGTGACAAAAAGTGGAGATCTAGTTTATACTGATTACAGAGATAGAACTGTGAACATTGTGAAGAATGAGAAGATAGAGGAGGTGATCAGACTACAGAACTGGAAACCTGACAAAGTCTGTAGTACCTCCTCTGGTGACCTCCTGGTTATCATGGACAGTAATGATAACAAACAAACAAAAGTTGTCTGTTACTCTGGCTCCACAGAGAAACAAACCATTCAGTTTGATGATAAAGGTAAACCTCTCTATTCATCTGGTTATAGTAGCACATACATTACTGAGAACAGGAACCTGGATATCTGTGTGTCTGACTGTGGAGCTAAAGCAGTAGTGGTGGTCAATCAGGTTGGGAAACTGAGATTCAGGTACACTGGACATACTCCTGCTCCAAAGAACAAACCATTCAGTCCAGTAGGAATCACCACAGACAGTCAGAGTCACATCCTTACAGCTGATGATTACAATGACTGTGTCCACATCATAGACCAGGATGGACAGTTCCTCCGTTACATAGTCTGTGGACTGTGTGAACCCTGGGGACTGTGTACAGATACAAATGACAATCTGTTTGTTGCTCAGTGTAGAAACAGACAAGTGAAGAAAATTAAATATCTGCAGTGATGATAGTACTGTACTGTAAAGCTTGGTATAGTCTAGCATAATAAGGATAATTCATATGATTCTTTATTCACAAGATTTTTTATACATGTAGGTTGTCATATTCCTTGTTTTGTCAAAGATGAATATCAAATGATGAATGTATTAACATGTGTTTGATATTTAAATATAACATATTTTTTTCAAAAGGCTATGTCCTAATGTAATCTTCTCTTTGACAGAGCATCAGTAAAGCTTGCTGCTATGTTAAAAACTATTAAAGTTTTATATGTGTTAAATCATTTGAGATAATTGATTTTTCCACAAACTTCTGCTCAGGACTGCATACTGAATTAACCCAAGAAAATGTCCTCAGAAACATAACATACCAAACTAGTATTAATTGTAACGGGGACCGTTACAGATGTTCCCCAAACGCTCCCCAACTTCCTTTTGGTGTCTTATTCCCTGTAAGCTTCATTAAATAAGGCAATCAAGTATATTGGGTTTTTTTTACGCATTACACACGCGCGCACAGGCATGCATGTACAAAATGACCATGTCAACTTGTCTACACTTTTAATACATCTTTATATTCAAATTTCATTAAAAGAAAAAAAAATTCGGCTATATTAAGTATATCTGTCATTTTACGCATTGCATGCGCGCGCACGTGCATGCATGTCCACGATGACCGTGTCATCTCGTCAACACTATAAATATATCTACATATTTCGGGTATCAATTCATTTCATCAAAAAGTATAAAAGTTACAGCTATATCAAGTATATTGGTCATTTTAGCATTGCATGCTCGCGCACGTGCATGCCTATGCATGTTGACAATGTCGTCTTGTCTACATTTATAATATGTCTATATATTCTGAGTATCAAAGCATAACATCAAAAAATGTAAAAGTTATGGCTATATCAAGTATATTGGTGATTTTACTCATTGCACGCGCACGCACGTGCATGCAAATGCATGCATGTGCGCGCTGATCATGTCATCTCGTCTACACTTCTAATATATACTTATATTCTGAGTTTAAAAGCAATTCATCTAAAAATATACAAGTTAAGTCTATATCATTCGTATAGGTTATTTCAATCATTGCGCATGCGCACACGTGCATGAATGTGCATTTTGACCATGTCGTCTTGTCTACACTATTAATATATCCTGATATCCTGAGTATCAAAGCATTTCATCAAAAGAGTTGAAAGTTATGGCTATATCAAGTATATTTGTCATTTTACTCATTGCACGCGCACGCGCGTGCACACACGTGCATGCATGTGTGCGCTGATCAAGTCTTCTTGTCTACACTTCTAATATATATTTATATTCTGAGTGTCAAAGCAATTCATCAAAAAATGTACAAGTTAAGTCTATATCAATTGTATTGGTTATTTTAATCAATGCGCATGCGCGCACGTGCATGCATGTGCATTCTGACCATGTCATCTTGTCTACACTATTAATATATTCTTATATTCTGAGTATCAAAGTATTTCATCAAAAGATATAAAAGTTATGGCAATATCAAGTATATTGGTCATTTTACTCATTGCATGCGCACGCACGTGCGTGCAAAATGACCTTCGTTCCGCAAATCTACATTACATTCCTATTAACCCTAAAAAGGTTTCAACTCAATCGGATGTATAGTTTCGGAGATCACTCACGGACAAAAAAGTACCCAGGAAGAAAAATAATAATAATAATAAGAAACAGAGTAAAAACAATATGTTCCCAAACTTCGTTTGGGGAACATAATTATGATGATCTTTGACAGTTTTCAATCAACAAAATAAAAATCATCAACATTATTTTTAATTTAATTTAGTTTCATTTATACTTTTTTTTACTTTCACATTTAATTCATGAACATGCAGATGAAATGATAGAGATCCAAACATCCATGGATTATTATCTATTTGCTGACACTGATAAGTCATGCTTTTCTGGCAAAAAAAAAAAAAAAAAAAAAAAAATTGTACTAGTTCAAGGGTATTCTACACCAAAATTTTATTTACTAGATTTTTGAAACATCTCTTGTGAAATATCAATTTTACAGCATTGAAAGAGGTAAGCTCTATATTTCATATGAATTTGGATGTTCTCCCCCAGGGAGAATGTGTAAAATTGCTGTATATGCAAATAAGATGCTTTGGAATCTAAAATACTGTATGGTGTTAATAAATGTACAATGTAAATTAATGCCTGATAAAACATTTCAAGAAAAGTCAAATAGGCTTTTGAATCTTTTAAACAAGATTATTTAGGAATATAATTTTTTTCATTTTCTAATATATACATTTGTGCTATCTCTCTGTCATATAAACATGCAGAGAGCAAATATCTTCATACCTGGGCTGCGTTCAAGATCGTAGCGGCTAATCTAACAGCTAGGTTGTAGATATCTATCTCTATTGAATGAACATCTAACCTAGCCGCTAAGTGTTAAATTTTGAATATAAATATATCAGTATAAACTTATTTTTGGAGCAAAAAAAGTTTATTTCAAGTGGAAATATATAATTATGTAAATATACATTTAAAGGACTTGTCCCATGTTTTTAAAAAATCCATAATTTTATGAAAAATATAATCTACAACCTTGTTTATTAAAATATTGAATAAAATAAAGGTTGTTGTAAGCATATTTTAAGAGTAATTTAGAGTTGAAATTCAAATAGGGCGATATGCATATTTCAATCGGATTTCGGCGCCATACTGCAGTGACGTCATATGCAACAATTCAGTGATAGTGAGATCAGAAACTAACAAAGTTATCAACGGTAAATGCAGGGTAATAAGGAAAATTCTGAATCTTACATGCTTTTCAATAACTATAGAAGTATGAACTTGTTCTAATTTAGTGTAAACATTTATTTAAAGATGAATTTATAACTATATGCATGTAAATATTATAAACGGACTACAGTGTAGGTATACATGGTGTAATGATGTTAGTATTAAGAAAATAAAAATTTTAAATCTCGAAAAAAACTTGCTGATTTATTGCAGAGCTTGACAGTTTTAATAACAGTAACTAGAACATGTATATGATTATAGAAGAAAGGATAATTAGTAAAGATCCCACCACCTTTTCAAACTATAGGTATTATTATCAATTACCCCGGTCCAGCGTTCCCCTTTTGATTTCAATGACGATTCAGTGGCTCAAGTATTTACATTATGATTTGATTTAAGATTATTAAATAAAATGAATTAACAAAGTTCTGTAATTTTAAATTTGAGAATAAGGTTGGTTAATACATGTACATGTGATAAGATGACAAATTATATACAATGTAATTATATTGTCCAGGCGAGTTTCTTCGCCTTAATCGCTCGTCTCCCTTGCTATCATCACTGTTAACAGGTTAATTTACCATGTTTACATATATTTTCCGTAATTTTTCTTGCTAACAGTTAAAAGAAAGGTTGAATATTCAACTTCATACAGATAAAATCAGTGATTTGGTCGTTCATAACACAGAAAATCCCATTTGCATCGCGTACATTTTAGTAAGGTTAACGTAAACAGCTGATCAGCCATTGTCGCATATGACATATCATGGTCATGTGATTGCTATCTAATTAACTTGGATTTTCAACTGAGGGTTTTTATTTTAATCAATAATGTTTAATTACCGCGTTATCTCCACAATAAAAACACGACATTTATAAACTATGATCATAAGGGACATAATATGCTTAATAATTTCAAGTAATTGAGAAACATGGGACAAGTCCTTTAATATGCTAAGATGTACAAAATAATTCCCCATAAAGTTAAAATCATATGTGCTGCAAAGTTGTAACTAAGGAGGCCATCTTGGATTTGGTACTTAGCATCAAATATTTATGCTAGCTCTCCCTAAGTAGCGGCTAGGCTAGCTCTCCGTTCAAGAGCGTATCTTTACGTAGATGCTACATAGCAGCTACACTCTTGAACGCACCCCTGTATGAAGTTTTTCAGAGGTCATAGGTCATTACCGGACCTAATCACACAGCGCAATAATATCTGCATAAAAAGACTTACTCTACTTAGCAATATAGCGTGCTTTTCATGCATAAAAATGTAAAAAATTAAAACGTACAGCACACTACTGTAAACCAGTTATTATTCCCGACATCTTTTATTCACGGTTCTTCAGTTTGGAATCCATCCCGAAATCTTTTACTCGCGGTTCTTCAGTTTGGAATCCATCCCGACATCTTTTACTCGCGGTTCTTCAGTTTGGAATCCATCCAAGACTACTAATTTTCACAACTGAGGCAATATTATGCGTAAATACATAGGTGAATAATTGATTCGTGAGTAAAAGAAGGCTGCAAAACTCGTGGAAATTTTTCGCTTGCGAATAAAAATTGGTTTACAGTAATTAAAATGTACAGCACACTAACTAAAATGGACATTTATCTGACTGGTCTCCTCCACTCTGAAGAATGATTCCACATGCCTGAGAGTGTTTATAAAACTTAAAGCAGTTGATAAAATAATCAGATTTCATGTTTCTCTCAAAATCACTGTTATTAAACAAAAGCTGATGTATGAACAAGTGTTTTCAATGAATGTTTTTCCCCATTTTTAATAGGACATCAGCTCTTCTGTCATGAAGGACATTAAATATCAGGTACTGTTAATATATGGCATCCTTATATTAATTTAACTTTAGCTTGTCATATTTTGTAACCCAGCTTTTATTTATGCAATAAATATCTGCAAGACTCACAACTCCATCTAGCAGACTTATGGTTATTAATCAGTCAAACACTTTAAAAGGTTTATGACAGATGAATCCGCGGTAGTGAAAATTAATAATTTGTGAAGAATGTCAAATATAGTACTGTACTTGGTTTACAGCATATATACCAGGCACGTAGCTACAAGCTTTATGCAAATGCATACATATATTTTTTACAAAGAGTAAAATGGTAATAATAGTAATGTTGATCACAGAAAGAAAGAGGGGCAGGGGTGATTAGAGAAGTATAAATCTGTACTATTATGAAAGAATCTTTCACCAACGTAAAATATTTAACCTTATAACTATAGAATACATACAATAAGTCTTCACAGAGGTAATCATGTTTGCATTAAAGATGCTCAAATAAATGAATATTGTGTGAAATCCTTTACATCCTTAACAAGAGGCCCATGGGCCACATCGCTCACCTGAGCACATTGGCTAAAAAAAGGAACAAATCAGTTCAGTATTGAAAAGTTTAAGGGGGGGGGGGGCGGCGAAGGGCTTGAATTTTAAACTACTTGAGGATGCTTCCATATCAATATAAGAAATGGCTTTGCTGTTCTTGAGCAGAAGATTTTTAAAGATTTTTTCCTATTTATCCCTTTGTTCAAAACTTGATTCCCCATTGTGGCCCTTCACTACCCCTGGGGGTCATGATTTTAACAAACTTGAATCTACACTACCTGAGAATGCTTCCATATCAATATGACCAATCATAACTTTGCTGTTCTTGAGAAGAAGATTTTAAAGATTTTTTCCTATATATTTCTAAGTAAACTTTGATCCCCCATTGTGACCCCACCCTACCCCTGGGGGTCATGATTTTAATAAATTTGAATCTGCAATACCTGAAGATGCTTCCTTATCAATATGACCAATCATGGCTTTGCTGTTCTTGAGAAGAAGATTTTTAAAGATTTTTCCCCCATATATTCCTATGTAAAACTTTGACCCCCCATTGTGACCCCACCCTACCCCCGTGGGTCATTATTTGAACAAAGTTGAATCTACACTACCTAAGGATGCTTCTATATTAATATGACACATCATGGCTTTGCTGTTCTTGAGAAGAAAATTTTTAAAGATTTTTTCCTAAATATTCCTAAGTAAAACTTTGATCCTCCATTGTGGCCCCACCCTACCCCGGGGGTCCTGATTTTTAAAAACTTGAATCTACACTACCTGAGGATGCTTCCATATCAATATGACACATCATGGCTTTGCTGTTCTTGAGAAGAAGATTTTTAAAGATTTTTACCTATATATTCCTATGTAAAACTTTGGCCCCCCATTGTGGCCCCACCCACCCCGGGGGTCCTGATTTTAACAAACTTGAATCTACACTACCTGAGGATGATTCCACATGAGTTTCATCTTTCCTGACGGAGTGGTTCTTGAGAAAAATATTTTTAAAAGATGCTATTAATTTTTGACCAATTTGTAATTATTTCCCCTTGGAAGAGGGTATGGCTCTTCATATGAACAAATTTGAATCCCCTTACCTAAGGATACTTTGAGGCAAGTTTGGTTGAAATTGGCCCAGTGGTTCTTGAGAAGAAGTCGAAAATGTGAAAAGTTTACAGACGGACAGACAGCTAGACAGACAGACGGATGCCAGACAAAATGTGATCAGAAAAGCTCACTTGAGCCTTTGGCTCAGGTGAGCTAATAAAAGCCAATTTAACAAGATTTTTTGCTGGAAAAATGTGTGAAAAATTTGATAAAACAGTAGAGTTACTGTGTAGCTTCACCCCTCAGACCCCCCCCCCCCCCCTCCATGGTTTTGCTTTGGACCTACTATGGGCCTCAAGGCATTCAATCTATGAATGCACTTCATATCCCTCCTTGCTACATGCCTGTATACTATATATTTTTGTGTACCTTTACATCAGCCCTTGTTTTCTCAGTGACTTCCATCACAAATTCCGGAGCTGGCCCTGAGTTGGGGTTCAACAGAAAATTTAAAATATCTGAAAAACTGGTCAGGAATTTTTAACAATTAATCAGGCTCTTGGCAGTCTCTTTGCATCAATGAAGCAATAAATCATCTCTGAACAAGTATTTTATTATAGAAATGAATAAGAAACAGATAAACTAATAGATAAGATCTATATTCCCTTTATAATGCTGATTCAGATCATTTCCTACCCCTTTTGAAATTTTACAAGTCCACTCTGCCATTACAGTAAAAAACTAGAGTTTTCCAAGGAATACGTGTGTCACTTGCTTTTTTAATCATTAAAGATGTAAATAAATCTTACAGAGTGGTCAGTTATTCATTTGCTATTAGTATTAAAATTCATGTATCTGCCTGCAAAGAAAAAATAAAATCCACAGATAGAAAGACTTTCACAGAATGGCAATTATCATAAAATATGTGACAAATAAAATTATGATTCGATCCCCAACCCCCAAAGTTAAAATGAATAATGAAATAGAAGTATCAGAAATAATTATTTATCACTTTATTCACATGTGTTTAATCCAACAATCCCCCAGATTCATTCTAGAGAGAGCTTTCAGTCTGTCTTCACTGCAGTTGTCCACCTACAATTTACTATTTTGGTATACAGATCCTGATGTACTTGAATGCATAGTATTTGCATAGTATTTAAATTTCAGTTTGTGTGGTATAATAAACAGTTTAAAGGAACAGTTTCCTGAAATGATATATATGCAAGTTATTGAAACTCTGCCTAAAAGACAAATTAAGTTTTAAATTAAATGTTCCAAGTATTTTTGCAAAGGAGGTCAAAGATCAAGGTCAAGTTGATAGTCACGCTGGTATTTTTATTTTAAATATCTTAAAACAAACAGTGCATATACTACATAGCACAGACTTACCTCTAAAATGTTAAAATGCTATTCTGTAAAGGTAAAAGGTCAGGCTCAAAGGTCACCAGGTAGGTAACTTTGGTATTTTACAAAAGCCATAGTGCCATGCTATATGCAAAATATTAAATCTATACATCGTACAGTTCTCAAGATATAGGGTGTGACAGACAGATGGAGGACAGACAGACTCCAGGTAAAGTGATCTCTAAGTCTCGCTCTGCTCTGCAGGTGACTAAAATGTACTTGAAGAAAGCTTAATTACTTCTTTTTTCATCTTTCTTGCCCACACTTCATTTCCTGGTACATGTTTATAATTGTTAAACTGACACTGCATCAAAGGATACTCAAGTCTACTGTTGCCCCAAGATTGTCAATGTTGGACATGAAGAGGTATTTCTTGCCATCTTTGATAAACTGGTCCAATAGGTTGGAGTTGGCTAAGCTCTGGTAAACATCGCCATGACCTGGGGGGTACCAGCTAAAAATATATACACAAAAATATGTGTATCAGTATGTTACAGTAGCAACTGAAATAACTAAAATGTGGTTATTCATTTACAAACTGAGATAACTAATATGCAGTTATTTATTTATAAAATGAGATAACTAATATGCAGTTGTTTATTTATAAAATGAGATAACTAATATGCATTTACTGAGAAATAACTAACCTCTCTAGATAATCTGCACTGAAATTTGCTGCTATTGGTAACAGGGATTCTCGACTAATTCGTGGATACCTGCAAAGAATAGAAAAAAAATTGATTACTAAAAATGTGAATTAAGACTGCAAAATTAGATAAACAGACACAGTTCCAAGAATCTGCAGAAGATATGGGCTCACTAACCTGCTCTGGTTAAAGGTGAAGATTTTGACCTTGACCTGGCTGTATTTTTTGAGAATTTTTTCGGTGTCTTCATCAGTGTTGAATGAGTTCATCAAAACCAATGGGACATCCGTACCATATGTTTTGTTTAAGTGCTGAAATCAGAAATTCCAATATTTGGATTCATTTTTTTTCTCTGTTTTACTTTCAGTGTATATTCAACTTCAGACTCTAAGTATGATCACATAAAGCCATAAGACTGTTACAATCCAAAGATAGGACAGTGTTTTGCAAATGACATCATTGTGCATGTCAAAGACATTTACAGCAAAAAACTTACCTATAATACCTGCAATAATGTAGCCCTCTCAGATTTTTTTTAATCTGATATTTTCAGGAGACAGGAGTGAATCACTCCTGCACTTGCACCATTACCGAGATCCTAAGGAGTTGTTGCCTTCTCCCAAAAAAAAAAAAAAAAAATCGGAGAGGGCTACATTATTGCAGCTACCTTATAAGTGAGTCACAGGGACCTTGAATTTTGCTTCCCTGTAACTGAGATTCTTAATATCCATAAAAGGAACATAGTAAAAAGTTGCCTAGTAAGGAATTCATAAAAAATTCCCTTATAACTGACTTTCTATAACAAAGTTTGACTGTATAAATCTATAATTATAATCATCATCAATGTAGAAAACATCCATAGCATATATATATTACCGGTATCATGTTTAAGACATAAAACTGTCATTATTCAAAGTTCATAATTTGATACATGATCCATTTAACAGTTAAATTGTTAGCGCCACAGTTATAAAATCAGTGACATAGTTCCACCACAATAAAATATTAGCGCCACAGTAAGATCGTCGTCGATCATGAGGATAAAAGTATAATTTTATAAACTTCAGAATGAACCTCCAAATTATGTACAGTTTTTCTTGTGCTATATCGGTATTTTACTCTAATTATAGGGCCCATTGATTGCCTTGCAAAATCAATTATCTTCTAGGCCTCGATGGACTTTACCCATGAATGAAAAGAGACAAGCCATTTTTTTCACACTTTCTGGTAATTGCAAATGAATTTTTTTTTGGCTAATTTTTAAAATTACTTAACTTTACTAAAGATAACCATGTCTGTAAAATTGCATTGGCACTGTGAATCAAACATCGTACGTGTATTGCAATCATGTATTGATGTAATGCTCAAAAATTAATGATAGATCCATCAAAAATAGTATTTATGACACCAATCTGTTATTTAATTCTCATTTAAGTTTTAAGATACTTTAGTCAACTGAGACCAATGCATAGATGAAAGATGTAAGATTGTGTAACCTACCAGAACCAGCAATTCCTCTGTTCTGGGGGGGGGGGGGGTGTCACAGAACAATTATACATATTGTATATTAGAAGCATTCTAAATTTTCTTTTACACTATGTTAAATTTGATTATATTGATTTTTTCTTATTATAATCATTATTAATATTTATATTTCAATTTCCCACTTTCCTAGACTGCATACCAGATTAAATATTTGGCTTAATTGTAGCTAGTCTTGTTATCCCTACAGAAAGGCAGGGCTAGCATATCTTTCAAGATCGTAGCTCTAACCAGAGCTACATAGCAGCTATGATCTTGAATGCATGCAGCCCTGACAGTGACATCACAGAGTAACCATGACACTCTGACATCAAAGCATGATCTATACCTCTATCTGTTGAACAGTCAGATCCAGAAATGTCAGATCATTTCTGACACTTATAATGCTCTTTGGTCCTTTACATCCCATACTAGTTCCCAGCCCTCCATTTAACTTGACGACCACCAGTTTATTCAGCTGGTCTTTAATGGAGCTGGTTTCTGGAACTTTTAATTCATTGTACATCTTTACCTGACAAATCAATATTCAAAAGATAAAATCAAAAGATGGCTGGCAGGATTTAAAAAAAAAAAGATACCAGTAATGCATTTTACATTCTGTGCTTGAGGGCAAAATTAGTTAATGCATATATGACATCTCTTAATCTACTTAATCTAAATACTTGAATTAATATATATACAGCTTAAAAAGACTGCTTGTTGTAACTTCTTGTGTCTAAATTTAACCTCATAAACACAAAAATTTGTTTTTTGTAAGCCTTTAATCACACTTATACCAAGTCTTAGCATATTACTGTACATGTACATAAATTGATGTATTCAAAATTTATGCAATGACTGGATATTAAGTGGTTGGCATAATTATGAATAAGCGCTACACATGTCCTTGCTGTGTATTATATTTATTAAATAAATAATTTATTAACGGTATTCATGAATTACTGCATTATTGTGCATCATATCCACTAAAATATGAAGCCTGCTTTTTTAAGTAAACACAGTATCTTCCATCTACAAATTGTATATATTATTTACACAGAACTATAAGCTTGCTAAAAATAATTAATGAAAACTTACGGCTTCCTGTGAAGCTAGTCTGATCTTCTCCCATTGGATGGCGTGACCAGCCTCCTGTAGGTATCGCCCGAACAGCTTCTCAAACTCGTCAAACTCTGCCCGAATTCTCTGTAAAACAAAAACTCAAACTTGTCAAACTCTGCCCAAATTCTCTGTAAAACAGAAACTCAATTTTTTTTTCTAAAATCCTCAAATTCCATGCTAATTCTCAGTAAAAATAAACTTTAACACATCAAACTTGGCCCAAATTTTCTTTAAAACAAAAGCTTAAACTTGTCAAACTCTGCCTGAATTCTCTGTAAAACAAAACCTCAAACTTGTCAAACTCTGCCTGAATTCTCTGTAATACAAAAATCAAACTCATCCAACTCCGCCCAAATTCTCTGTAAAACAAAAACTCAACTTGTCATTGACTAACTCTGCCTGCATTCTCTGTAAAATAAACGGCTCTAAAACTCTTCAAACTTCACCCTAATTTTAAATGTAAAACAAAAGATTCTCAAACTCATTAAACTCCACGTGAATTGTATAAAAAAAACAAAAGCTCAAACTCTTCAAACACCACCCTTATTCTCTTTAAAACAAAAAATTCTCGAACTCATCAAATTCCACCCAAATCCTCTGTTAAACACACACATATTTTAATGTTATTTGTCAAACAGAATTACTTCTGAATCAGATGGGATAAAAATTATCTGCTGAATTTGAACTGAATATTTAACAAAGTCAGAATTCATTATTTGGTAAGGTGATGGATAACATATTACATAAGGACAACATATAGTCCAGACCTGCATCACTGAGCCAGAATACATAGTATATAGATTCCAGTGGTATATCATTCATCTGGCATCAGGACATTACTGCACAACATCCACCTAGGAGTTTATAGATAAAGCACGCTCTATAAACTTTAAAACACAAGTGATCATATTCAACCAAAGGAAACCGAGAAAATAGTCCTCAAATTTGTTTAACGCTGGACGTGTACCGCTTCATCATTGGTATGAACAAGATCAAGGCAATGTTTGAATGATTTTGAATGAAAACTGATTACAGATAAATTAGATGGTATATACAAAGTACATAATAAAAAAACAAATAGAAAAGTTATTGACATTGCAAATAAGGGCATTTTTATGCCCCCATATCGAAGATTCGGGGGTATGAAGTTTTTGCCGTGTCCGTCCGTCTGTCTGTTCTGTTTTTGTCTGTTTATCTGTTTGTCCGCAAAAACTTTAACATTGCCCATAACTTTTGATTGGTTGGAACTATGGCTTTCATAGTTCACATGTGTATTCCTTGTAATAAGACCTTTCTTTGGGTACCACCATATTTGACTTTTTGACCTTGACCTTGGAGTTTGACCTAGTTTTACAAAATTTTACCTAACTTTTAACCTTGGACATAACTTTTGAACAGTTGGAGTTAGGACTTTCATACTTCACATGTGTAATCCTTTTAACAAGACTTTCCTTTGGATACCAACAACTTTGACCATTTGACCTTGACCTTGGAGTTTGACCTACTTTTGAAAAACTTTAACATTGACCATTACTTTTGAACGACTGGTGCTAGGGCTTTCACATTTTCACATATGTAACCCTTGTGACAAGACCTTCCTTTGGATACCAACAACTATGACCCTTTGACCTTGACCTTGGACTTTGACCTACATTTGGAAAACTTTAACCTTGGACACAACTTTTGAAAAGTTTTTGCTACGGCTTTCATATTTAACATGTTTTTTCCTTGTGACAAGACCTTCCTTTGGATACCAACAATTGTAATTCATTGACCTTGACCTTGGAGTTTGACCTACTTTTGAAAACTTTAACCTTGGTCATAACTTTTGAACGATTGGTTCTTCAGCTTTCACATTTCACCTGTATATTTCTTGTGAGAAGGCCTTTCCTAAGGCACCACTAATTTTTAACATTTGACCTTGATCTTGTTGCTGCTAGGGCTTTCATATTTCACAGATATATTCCTCGAGACAAGACCTTACGTTGGGTACCAACATATTTTATTTGCATTTCAGAAAGCTTAACCGTTGCTATAAGTTGCCATACGGGGCATCAGTGTTTCAAAAACACATTTTGTTTTTCTTTCTATTTTTGGGAGGGGGGCAAATCTGATCAACCAGAAGATCCAAGCATATCTGCAATATGTATGCAATCAATCTAGCTGTTTTTTAGACATGCATCAGCAAATTCATAAAGACATTTGTCAAATATATAATTCACAGGTAAAATCTGTGATTTATCTACATGTATGTAACCTGCTCCTGTTTCACTGTTGTTCATTAAGTATGATCTCCCCTGATTTACTTACCTCCTGTAATCCAGGTGGCGCTGTCTGGATCAGCTTCTGCAGCTCCTTGTTCATGGCTTTCTGGGCATCTAGACGGGTTCTCTCGATGAACTGAATATCACTTCCTGTCCTCCGATGCCCTCGCACAAATGCCGACTGAAAAAGATATATGTGGACTTCAAATATTACAATTGTAAGTCAACTGCTGACTGAAAGAATAAACTAATACATTTGAGCCTAGGGAATCTGGACACCAATAATTCCAAAGCTCCATCTTCCAGACATGATATATTGAGAACAGAATTTACATTTTTATCTACAGTACCAATTATAAAAGGTATGCTTCGGTTACCCAGACGCTTCATTCTAATCTGGATGATCTGCTCAGGAAAACAAGCGAATGGATTAATACGTTGACTGAATATTACATGCATGGACATATTGTATGATAAGCAGAACTTTCAGCATGGAGTCAATTTTGGTATTACTAGTGAGAGAGTTGAGATTCCTGAAATTGAATATCACTAATTAATGTAAATAACCTGGCATAATAAAATGGCTAAAATTATGTCTCACTAAACATGCTAAAGATACTATATCAATTTTTTAGGGAAAGTTGCTAAATTTGTGCCTCGCAAAAAATTCACTTTGTAATTGTAATACAATTACATATGTTAACTGAAAAAGGAAATTAGTATATCACATGTATTACATGAACACACATACTGTGTCAACTATATATAATAATATTATACTTTCATGTAAATTAGTTGAATCTGATTCGTCGAGAAACATTTGTTAAAAAACACTATTACCCGCTGAATGTTGAAGCCACGCCCTCCAGCGTAGCAACAGTCAACATTGCTTGACGACGGGTGATATTCCAAAAAATAGTGACTGCGCAGAATTTATGCGCGCAAGGTTCACTGTTATATGTATTTGTATAAAACATTCAGTATAATATAATAAATATCGCATGTAGTTGAGTGTAACATTGAAAATTTTCACCCCAAGAAAACCATTGTCAACCGAGGCTGCGCCTCGGTTGACAATGGTTTTCTTGGGGTGAAAATTTTCAATGTTACACTCAACTACATGCAATATTTATATAATAATTCACTACATCTTACAAGTATAATAATAATTCACTACATCTTACAAGTATAATAATAATTCAGTACATAGCATGATTGTAATAAAAATAATTCATTAGGTCTTACCATTTTAATAATAATTCATTATGTCTTAATTACAATTGTGATAATAATTCAGTAAGTCTTCAATAGTAAGAATAATTTAATATGTCTTTCAATTGCAATAATAATTCTTCAAATCATTAGGTCTTACAATTGTAATAAAAAGCCTATGCAAAGAGAAATAATTCTGTAATTGTTCACTCAAAACCAAGCTTTCGATGAATTAAGTTATTCAAGGTATTGATACCAAAGATTTTATTCTTCATAGCAAGATTAAATTTGGTGAAATTGAACTTAGCATTTAAGTGTTTTACGAATAAAATGTGCATTTACAGTAACCATCATTCCCTTTTGAAAAATTATTGCATTGGTAATATAAAAACACACATTGCCTACAGAAGTCCACAGCTTCTGTGAAAACAATTCTTGTGTACCTTGGATTACCTCCCCATTAAATACCCCTTAAAAAAATATACTGCTCTTCCTTAAAATAACTAAAATGTATACCAAGTCCAGAAGATCCATCATAATCTCCCAGAAACACAATGATCTTAATTCACCACGGACTATCACCCAATCCTGTAAATGAACACTCCATAACAAATCAGCTGTTAGACACATTTATTGGTGGACCATGTCATTATATAAATTTTCTCATCTCTTCTCCAGCTGTTGTCTCTGAATTCAATTGTTTAATATCATCCTTAAGATCAAACTGGATTTTTGAACACATATATCCACACCTCCATAACTCATTCTACCTTAAATCAATGAAGTGCACATGTGTCCAGGTTTGTTCAAAACACTTCATCAATGGAAGACCTTTAATCTAACAATCTACATCAATCAGCATTTCACAGGATTTACTGAAACACTTCACTAAGATTCTTAACAGAATATTTTCCATGTATATATATCAAAATCACTTATGGTTTCTTAGGTGACTAAAACAATAAACCTGTAACAGGAAAGGAATAAATGTATGGCTGGACCAGGAATAGAACCTGGGACCCCTGCATCACTAGTCAGGTGCTCTACGGACTGAGCTACCCAGGCCGATATCCACAGCCCAAACCATTACATTACTCCCTCTTTAATTGTCTTTGCCCTGGAAGACACAACCCAAGTTCTTATTAGCCCCTGGCAGAACTTTCACCTGCAAGTCCAGGGGTGGTCAACGGCACCAAATCTGTAACAGGAAAGGAGAAAATGTATGGCTGGACTGGGAATCGAACCCAGTACCCCTGTATCACTAGTCAGGTGCTCTACCAACTGAGCTACCCAGGCCGATATCCATGGCCCAAATCATTACAAACCGAAATGAAGAGGAAAGTCAATTTAACCTCATTTTTTAAAACTCTTTTAGGCAAAGAAAAAGTATAACCCAGCTAGCTGGGTTGGAACAGTTTATTACGCTTTTTTATCAACCGTTTTGTGGTTTATAAAGCTACTGCGTGATAAACTGTGCCAACCCAGGTTATGCAGTTTAACTTGAATACTTGTAGCTTTTAAATTGGAAATGCTTAAACATGTTAAATGGATGAGGAGGCATTTTTATTTTATTTTTTTTTTTGGGGGGGGGGGGGGGGGCTATACATATATAATATTAGCTTACTTAAATTTGCTAATCTACATGTAGATTATGTAATTGTGCACAACTCCAAAACTGAGTTTAAGCAAGGATCCAGCTCTCATCTCCATACTTAATTAAGCTCATAATAATAAATTGTATCAATTTTTCCTTCCAGTATGATGCATGAAAATATATATATTTAATGTTATCTTAGGAAATCTGAATACATTATTCTCTATACAGGTAGAGAAACTAGTTTTGTAAAACAATGTAGATGTTATTTCTGACCAAAGTTTGTGGGAAAACTGGTACATGGACAGTGAACGTAATTTCCCTGCAGGTGACTTATAACTCAGAAGAATAACCTACAAACACTCAATCCACACAACTGATTAAACAAACAAACACAACAAATATTTAGATTTATAACACCTGGGTCCATCTTAAAAGATAATTTGCTTTAAAAAAGAAAATCTTCAATTTTCATGACCTAAAACAAACACAAATGGGACTATAAATAAAGAAAGACTGTACATATGAATTAAACACTACAGGTGACAAAACAATTTGACAGATTAGCTGAATGCACTGATGTAAACAGAAATAAAAGCACCATCATATCCTACATGTTCTAGGATAGATGGACTTATATAAAGGCTTTCCAAAGTTTATGGTTTGGGGGGGTATATATATTATATACTCACTAAGTTCTGTGTAGCTGCCATGTCTGTCTTGGCCTAGTTTTCCCCCGATTTACCTGTTCAGTACAAACCACTTATCATCTTACCTAGGGGATGTTTTATGTGGAGATAAGGCTATAAATATCACAAATAACAAAGGCCTAAATAGCTCACCTTTCATTACACCACTGAAATTTAATTAAAATATCTTTGTGTCCACATGCAAAATGACTAATATATATACTAAATTGCATGGTCTTAAAAAGTGGAATATAGAAAAAACAGGGGCATGTAGAGCTAGCCCAATAGCAATAAACACACATCAACAAATCCAATTCTTACTTGGGGCACCAAAATTGAATTCTGTCATACAAACTTCTGTTAATACATAAGCACCAATTACTAGAAGGTTAATAGCAAAGACTGAGCCAAAAATTAATGCGTCAAATTTAGGTCAGCATTTATACTAGAAAATGGTCTATTAACTCTATTTATAATGTCTTAATGTTATGGGTGTAATACAACGTATAACGAACAACCTTTCATTTTATTATATGTTATGCCTCTAATACCTATATTCTTATAATTTGTCAAATCCAATGCTCTTCTCTTTGAGAAAAGAAAAAGGAAAACAACGAACACCTGCTTACATGTATTATTTAAACTCTCAGAGATTCTTCCTGTTATAAGGGCTAATTTTCCTAAATTTTATTTCAACAATTGTTCCTTTATTCAATCACAAGTCTTGTACCTGCTCCTAACTGTATCAGTTCAATAAACAATCATATAAAATATCATTTTATTACTCTGTAAACAAGTGAGCTATGTAGTACATGTATGTATGAATGGATCGTTACATTCTCTGACTGTTGTAAAGATCACTGATTACTCTGTGTACAGGTGAGCTATGTAGAATGTATGAATGGATCGTTCTAACATTCCCAAACTGCGTAGAAATTGATACATTTATAGATCAGACCAAATCCTGAATAAATCTTCAGCTGAACCCAGACAGGTAAAGTCAGGTCACATTTATATCTATTATTTTTATCTTATTTTACTTTGAAATTCACTTTTATTTAACTAATCCATCAGCAAGTTTTTTTTTTCATACTCCTAGGATACAGGTAAAACTTTGCATGTCACAGCTCGATCTCAAATGCTAGGAAACAGTCCACACCACAGGTGCTTGATTAATTTTCCTATCAGAAAAAAAGAATAACCCCCTACCAAATAAATCACATGATTTGGTAAGGGGTTATTTTGGTGCTAAGAAAAAAAAACAGCATAACATCAAGTGTCTGTAGTGCAGACATGATCACATCCTTTGGGGGATTATCAATTTGATAAATATGTATTACATAAAGGAAAAGAGCAAATATAATCTCCTTAATTCAAGGAAGAGGGAAGAGATAATTGTTCATTCCAGAGTGGAATTTCTTTGTCACCTATCTTTATCAATTTGACTTAGTCACATTTCTCCAGCTTTCAAGCACTTATATATATCTAACAAAAGGTTTAGAGACATATATACATGATATACTTCCCAAATTTTTATTCAGCTGTCACTGATAAATTTGATATTGATGATATCAAACATTACTGATTTTTGTTGAGGGTTTTATGAGGATTTATGTGAATGCAAAGAAACATGATATTGACTGAGGTTGATATCATACTTCTTTGGATTGATAAATCCTTATAATA